TATCATTTGCAAATCTAAGCATACTAATCTTTTGCCCCCTATATCTATCCCTACAGTTGTATGGATTAGAACAAATTATTTCAAAGTTAAGATACGAGGGTGGATTGATAAGTTTCCGGCCTGACCAAGAAAAACAAGGTTTTTAAAAATTTTTTTTTTTTATTTCTCAACATAATCTCCTCCAAGGCTGATACATTTCTCATAGCGGTGTTCCAGTCTATTAATGCCATCTCTATAGACTGATTCGTCAAGCTCCTCAAAATAACCATTTACAGCTTCGATTACTTCTTCATTGTCCGCAAATCTCTTACCGCCAAGCCATTTTTTGAGATTAGGGAACAGAAAATAGTCACTCGGGGCTAGGTCTGGAGAGTAAGGAGGGTGCGGCATCAATTCAAACTTTAGATCGTTGATTTTAGCCGTCGCAACGATTGACGTGTGCGCTGGTGCGTTATCGTGATGAAACAAGATTTTTTTCTTCGCCAGATGAGGTCGTTTAATTTTCACCTCGTGGCTCAAACGTTGCAATAAGTCTGCGTAGTATTGACCAGTGATAGTATTACCCTTTGCAAGGTAATCAATGTATATAATACCTCTTGCATCCCAAAAAACAGTAGCCATAACCTTGTTCGCCGAAAAAATTGTTTTTGCCTTCTTTGGAGTTGGTTCCCCTGGTCCAATCCACTGTTTAGACTGTTCTTTGGTTTCAGGAGTGTAGTGGTGGACCCACGTTTCGTCAACGGTTACGAATCGACGCAAAAATTCGCTTGGATTACGCTTATACAATGACAAATTTGCGGTAGAAATGTTTTTTCGAATCAATTTTTGGTCGACTGTTAGCAAACGCGGCACCCATCTTGCACAGAGCTTTTCCATATGCAAATGTTGGTGCAAAATATGTTGCACACGTTCATATGACATCTTACAGGTCTCAGCTATCTCACGCACTTTCAATCTGCGGTCTCCCAGCACTATTTGATGAATTTTTTCGATCATATCTGGAGTTGTGACCTCAACGGGGCGTCCTGAGCGAGGCCCATCAGAGGTGCTCACACGACCCTTTTTAAACTCGGAAACCCACTGCTTAACGGTTGAATATGACGGGGAGGATGTCCCCAGTGTTGAGTCCATCTCTTTTTTAATTTCCTTCGGCGTTAACCCCTTCAAATAAAAGTATTTGATGACAGCACGATTTTCCTGCTTTTCCATTTTTACGAAAACCACAGAGGCGTCTTGTTCAGCGTGCTGTCAAACCTACACTAGCAAGGAGATCGGGCTGAAACTATAGCTACAAGCTATCCAAGGATGGTACTATAGAATGTCACCTCAAGGTAGGCCTAGTGGCGTCATCTCTTGGTTAGGCCGGAAACTTATCAATCCACCCTCGTACATACACACTGCACTGGCGATTTCGATCAGTTGCTGTCTAAGAATTTATTGATGGTTTCTTATTATGATGTCATTGATATTAATCTATCTACAATAGTTTCTAATAATTACAGGCGGCGCGGCATAGTAAACGCTATTTGTAGATATTTGGCACTAATAATTGTGAGTTAGTTAATACTTGACAAGGTTCTTTTTCAATTAGGAATATCAACTTGTCAAAGTACCTAAACCCACGGCGTAGCTGCTAATCGACATGATAGGCATGTCGAAATAGTCAACTAAAGAATTCGAAATCACGATTCATGTCTGACGATTTCGACTGATCACTGATGACCCAAAAAAATAATGTTTTATCTAGTTATCATGTAGGTACGTGTTTGAACACACTCCTAACGGTCCTAATGAATTATCCTAACTAGTATTATAAATGCAAATGTGAGTTTGTTTGTTTGTCGGCTTTTCACGCCTTAACTACTCAATCGATCATTATGAAATTTTGTAGAGACGTTGTCAGGGATACAGAAAAGGACATAGAGTATCTTTTATCCAGAGTAAAGGTGCTGTTCCCGAGGGATAAAAAAATTAGTTTTATATAGTCGTCGATGATCTTTGACAGGTATTTAGAACATCTACGCGAGCAGAGCCGCTGGTAAAATCTAGTAAGAGACATTGTCAGGGATACAAAAAAGGACATAGAGTACCTGTTATACAGAATAAAGGTACTGTTCCCGAGGGATAAAAAAATTAGTTGTATGTAGTCGTCGATGATCTTTGACGGGTATTTAGAACATCTACGCGAGCAAAGCTGTGGCTAAAATCTAGTAAGAGACATTGTCACAGGTACAGAAAAGGACATAGAGTACCTTTTATCCTGAAAAAAAATACTGTTCCCGAGGGATAAAAAATTAGTTTTATGTAGTCGTCGTTGATATTTGACGGGTATCTACGCGAGCAAAGTTGTGGCTAAAATCTTATAAGATTTAAGTATAAATGAAAAAACTTAAGAAATGCAAAGTCAAATTTGTTTGTTCTGTTTAGTGGGTGACAGATCAATCAATCAAAGCGGTAATTATGTTCGTTCTGATGGCTCTTCGCGATCTCATTTCGGAGCAATCGGCACGGCATTGTTAAATTGTCGCCCGCGTCGCGTTTATCCTTTTCGCAGTTTGGTTTATGTGTAAAACGGTAACGACGACGCGAACAGTCGCTGACCTGAATGCCAAGTTGAGGTCAGCAGCAGTTCACAATCGACGACACAAACAAGCGTTCTGCTCCTTTTATCGTCGACAACGAGAGAAATATAACGGACCCGGGAATCGTGCCTGAAAAGCTGGCAGCGTAAGTAAAGATGCCGTTGTATTACAAAATTAACATCCGCTAATAAATTCGCTTTTATCCGGAAAAGATTGATCAAAATTGGGCCTCCAATGTCATCAGACTCGTCTGTTTTAGATGACAGGCAAAACCAGTAGGTGGTATAACTGTTATTTAAATAGACCTTACATATTTTTTTAATGAACACTTTAAATTTAATACATTCGTTGAAGAGATATTAGGACCTGTTAGGATTGCTACATCCCTGTCCTTTTTTTGTAAGTTTTAAGACTTATTCGTAGTGTCCCTTTTTTAATATCCTAAATCTTCTTAAATAAAAAAAAATAAGTTAAAAAGTACTAAAAAGTATGTTTTTATGTTCGTTGGTAAAATAATCAGCCTCTATAAGTTTACGTGTTTTAACTTCGTTAAAAACCCTTCTTCTTCATCGTGGTCAATAAAAAGATTTTTAACTTTTTATTACACTAAAATTTAAAAAAAAATTGAAGCAACATGTTTGTTCAATACCTCCAACAAGCGCCATAGGCTCTGTTTGCATGTAAGGTGCTTCCTTTAAGTAAAGTTTTTTATAACTTTAAGAGAACCCTATAAACTTTACTAAAAACCATATGAACTTTTACTGGTAATTTTTCCTCTCAGTATAAGTAGCACCAGCTAAGGGTATGTCTTGTCAATTACTCATATTATACCCCTAATCACCTGTTTGAAAAGTGATTTTGTCAAAAGCATTGTTTTGTTTACCAATTTCAAAACAATTTTTATTGAAATTACGTAATCTGTAGGATTTTTCCCAGTCTATTATTTTTTTTTGTTTTTGATATATCAGAAAGGAACACCTTACAAACGATTTTGAAACTAAATATTTTGGAAAGCGGGTTTTAAAATGATAAATATGTGTTCGCGATAAATTAAGGTCTTTATTAAAGAAATTTTACGCCTATTAGTTTAGATGCTAATTGTGAATCATTAATTAAACGGAAGACACATGAGATGCGAAGAAGACACGTTTACAGCACTAACTTAATGATGTAGAATTTATTGTGATTAAGCCGGTGTAGTTTATGAGTTAATGAAATGCTATGATAGAAACGAATGTTTTGGTTTTAAAACTTGTAATAACAGTCGTTTGTGCACTTACAAGTCATGGTTGTTAAAAGCCAATCATGTTGGGGCGGTTCTTGTCACTGTTTTACTCATAATTAGATATAATTTTCGAAATTGTTGTTGATTAAATAACTTATGGTGGTCTATTAGATAGCCACCTGGTCGTTTAATTTTTAAATCGCTCTTTCCGTAATACTTTCTTTGGAATAAAAGTTTCAAACTCTCGCAGACGTCTGAAGTCATCGAATTTCCGTTCCCTTTAATAGAACCACTGCGTATTACCTATTTCTCTATAATTGATAAGCGCAATATATACACATTTTGTAAAATGTTCTTGATCAAAAATGGTAGACATTGATCGTAATTTCGACATTATTTAAACCTCATCAGCACACCATGGGCAGGCTTCATATATTAATATTTTTCGTGGGAGACGGAAAATCTTCATACATCCAGCCATCCATACGACTGGGTAGTGTCAGATTCCCTAAGAAGGTGTCCTCCGAAATGACCAAACCGAAGAAGTTCTTAAAGAGCAAGTTGATATAATATCCAAGTAAAGTCAGGGTATTGCCATCTAGTGGGTATTAGCTGCTATTGGAGTATAACTAAGGCATTCCAACATGTTCAACTGAATTGATGAGATAACTTACAGCTACCGAAATATTGCTAATCCTTCAGTAGCAGGAAATGGTCCTGTCTGTATTTGAATATTAGATCAACTTGCTCATTAGGAGTTTCTTCGGTTTGCTCATTCATAGATCGAGGTTGCCCATGGTACTCTGATAAACTCTAATAAGATCAAAAACAGAATCTGTGTCTGGTTAATGATGATAGATTTTTGACAAAGAACGGTCTGATTTATGTGCAGTCTAAAGTTCGTAACAAAAGAATGTGTTCTTGTTTATTTATTTCATATTTTTGTTGGCTGTAAAATTTCCTTTTTATTCATATTTTTCCACAATGTTATGTAGATTTATAATACACAATTAATAAACGCCTGGCCTATTTTCTGTTTAATGGTAAATGAACTTTCTATTCATCACTGATGATAATAGAAAGTAATTTATATTGAAGTAGTAATCAAAAACAATTTCTCGGAATCTAAATGTCTATGGAAAATAAAAATTAAACTACTCGTTTCTAAGTTTAAATTTTGTTTCTATTTTCAGGCTATTATCAGCCTGCTGGGCCGCTGATAACCGCCCCTCCGCACGGGGGTCATCCTCAGCAGCAGGTACCGCCAACTCTAGCCCCCACAAAAGCAGCACCGCTGTCGTCAGAGCCGTCGACGTCGCCCACGCCCCCACCACCCTCATCCCAGCAACCGACGCTACGACCTCCACCCCCGTCTTCCGCAACCGAGTCATCGGACAGTGATGTAAGTCATCCTACACCCTTACACCCTAATCTATACTTTACATGCCGTTGAAGCGTACATTTCCCCCATTTTCTAGAACCCTTTATGCAGTGTGCATTATTATTTTTAAAATAAATTGCACGCGCTCCCCACACTTAAACACTCTTGTGCACTCGAGTTTCGAGGAATGACGTCACCTTTTTATTCGTAAGAAGGGCCAGTAAATTATCGTATTTTAGGCATTATTTATTGGACCAATGTGAGTAGGTGTTTCCCATTAACGTCTTAAATTATTTCCTCATATTGTTCTTTATGCTTTCGCAGATATTATTGATAAGGTTTTGATGTGTAGGACAGAATAATCCAAAAGAATATCAACATGCCCACCTGTGGCAAATTTCGCTTATTATTAAACTTATTACGATCCTTATCTTTAGTGTTTGTTTTCTGGTGTATTCGTTTTAATTTCGGTGTTGAGGTGTATGGATAATTAAAACAACAATAATTAATTAATTTTAATGGGTTAACAAGACAATAAGTCTAAAGTATTGCATGTCGAAATTGTTGACATTTCCAACGTTTTCATTGTTGTTTTCTTGACTAGCAATGCGAAACACTAGCCAGAGTGTATCTATTTATTCCAGGTAATTATCACATCACCGCCGGTAGTAAAGGAAACCATACCAACACAACCGCCGCCACCTGTTTCATTTAGGTACAGTCAGTATTCGTCACCCCACCATGGATATTCCTACAGCTACACTCCTCAATATTACCCTGGTCCGCCACCTGCTCCTTCATACCCACACCACGACCTTTGCTATTCCACACCTCCCTATCTACACAAAGCATATCCCACAGCTTATCGAAGGTACCTAGCGCCCCCGTCAGGGGCGCAGTTCTTCCAAACCCCATCGGATATCTATAACCCGCCTCAACCAACAGCGAATCCTCCAGGACAACAGGTATAAATGTTTTACTCAATCGTCATGATTTTAAAACTAATTATTTGTCCTCGCTTTCACTTGCAAGATGGTCGCCGCGAATCCGGCCGCCAACGGTTCATCATATCAGCAACCCCCAGGAGCGCATCCTCCTTCAGCTCTTATTGAAAGTTACGCCCCCCCGCCGACGTTACTAGATCCTTATGCGCCCCCATACTACTCAGGATACGGGCCGGCCCCTCCACCATCCTGTTACACGCATTCAACTCCCACGAGAACTATCCCATATTTAAGTGAGTACTTACAGATTTAAGTGTTTATATCCTATCTATCCACGGACGGCCTTGGGTATTTTGAATCTCTACTTTTATATCAGATAGCAATATGTATAGATGATATGCAAACCTATATATTTCACCTCTAATTGTAAGTAATCAGCTAATCGTAAATGCAGATAAGATAAGAATAAGTACATAAATAGTACTGTCATAATTATTGCATTTCTTCTAAAAAATTTTGCCAATTACCAATGTGTAGGTTCTTTGAGTTGCACAGTCGGCTATTTTTTTTGTATCCGTTCAGTAGTGATTGGTAACTTCATGATCTGTTTAAAATGTAAGATAAACAAAACTATTTGGTGTACTGCTATTAATTAGCAGTGATTGTAAATGACAATTATATTTTTCAGATGCTGCTTACTCAAGCTGCCCATGTCCTATGCAGTCGTGTCCAAAAAACGTACATGCTGGACCTCTTACTGGTGATAGTAAGAGGTCTGTACACATGTCCATCGCCAAAGATTCGCTTCCACTTCCACCGGTAGCCCTGGCGCTTCCACTGGAGCCAGTTAATGCTACCGATCCTCCTAGTCCAGCCCGAGGGTCTGCAGGAATGCCACCACCTCCATCACCTGCCGGCGCTACGTACCAACCACCTCCGCCAGCTCCGAAACAAGAATCCATTGGAACAACAGAGTATAAACCAGCAGAAAAATGTCGGAAAGCTCGCATTGGAAAAAGCATGGTCAGGAGCAATATTGCTGCTAATTTTCCGGAAAATACCATGTTGCTGATGTGTCAAGCACCCCAGCAAAATGCGAACATAGCCAATGTAAAAAGAGAAATAGAGAGCCCAGAACAAAAAAAGGAAGAAAAACTCGATGAAGTAGAATCTTCAGATTTAAAACATATAGCAAACAATGTCGAATCCGTTATTTTATCGGAAGAAACTCTGATAACTACTACAGAAACACAAAATAATTTTGAAATGAACGTTAGATCGACTGAGGTAGATGTTAAAGAAGAAGAAAAGAGCGACAAAGAAAGTGATGATAACGTGATCGAAGAAGAATCTAAAAGACAGGAAGTTAAGGATGAGGAGCTCTTACCGTGCGTTAAAACTGTAGCAGAAAATGTGAAGATGAAAAACATGAAAAGAAAACTGTCCATGTCAAAAGAAGTTGAGAAAGGGGAAGCTCCCATTGTCTTGCCGTCTAAAAAGCCCAAAATAGATAAAGTAAAAGCCAATGGTAGTTACAAAGATCTGATTAAGAAAAACGTACCGTGCGTAAAAATCAACAACGGTAAACGTAAATTAATTACGGATAGTACATCGCCTAAATTGGTCACCACAAAATCGTCCAAGAAGAAACGTAAACTGGCCCTCTCAAAGGATGATTCAGTTGTCAAACGCACAAAACTGTCTAAACCACTGACATCCAATAATCAACTCGTTAATCCCAAAACCTTAAGGAAAGAAGGCAAATACGTGATGACATGCTTCCTTTCCGAATTAAATGAGAACACGGAACCGGGATCCAAAGTCGCCAAAAAGAATTCCAAGTGTAGTGTAACAACCAAAAAGCTGGCACCAGTGGTGCTTGATAATTTATTTGCTAAAAACAGTGTAGATCGGACTATTGAATGTGTAGTGAGCAATTGCTGGGAAAATGGTTCACGGACAATCAAAAAGTCTGATGCGAACTCAAAATCCACTTCCAAATCAAAGTTCATCAAGGCCGAAACAGAACCAGTGACGATAAAAAGTACAAACGTTAAACCATCATCAGATCAGTGCAAACAAAAAGTGCAAAAAGTAAATTCGCGGAAAAAGGTAAAATGTAAGGAGGAACCCCCATTACCATTAGCCATCACGAAACCTCGTAAATCGGCTTTACTACCCAGATGGTCGAACGGGTGGACATGGGCTGGAGAACCTTTCCAAGCCAAAGTATTTCTTAATGTAAGTGTACAATCTATGTGTATTCGTTTTGTGTATTATTGTCCTTTTTAATAACAGAGTGACGAAGCGACGGTGGTAAGGACGTGCTATCCAGCAATGGTACATGTCGAGGGCGACCGAATAGAAGCTAGAGATTGCGTATTATTGAAAGCTGGCCAGAAGAAAAACGAACTACCGTTTGTGGCAAAAGTTGCAGCTTTATGGGAAAATCCAGAAGATGGTTGGTTTTTTGACTATCCCTTTTTTCCTTATCAATTAAATAAATGAGATCTTTTTCCTAGGAGAGATGATGATGTCACTATTGTGGTATTATCGACCGGAACACACGGAGCAAGGGCCTCAGCCTACTGACGAACACGATGAAGTCTTCGCGTCCAGGCATAAGGATACCAACAGTGTGGCTTGCATTGAAGATAAATGTTATGTACTTACCTTTAATGAATATTGCAGGTGAGTGTAATTTTTTAGTTTTATTACAGTTTATTATAAATATTTTTCCATTAGAAAGTTTTTTTTCTTGTTAAGCAATACAATTGATTTTTTGATAAATTTAGTAATAAAAGCAGTATCAAGCAAAATAAACCATAATAAACGTAATAATTTTAGACAAATTAGATAACGTCCTTTTCATTCCACAGGTATCGCAAAAACTTGAGAAGATTAGAAGAAAATCTGGAAGAAACGAAACCCTTTGTTCCAAATCCTGAAATATATCCACGGACTCATAGACAACCGTCAAATCCTCGAACTCCATCAGATTTAGTTTTCTTTTGCCGAAGGGTATACGATTTCAGGCAAAAAAGGATTGTTAAAAATCCCAGTTAATTAAACAAAAAGAAAAATGATGAAAATCAACTTCCAATTCTACGTTTAAAACAAGTGATCGGATAATATTTTTACACCTGCAGAGATTAATTTTTTAATGTTAATTCTTCTTTTAGTGAGCTAATGATTAAAAAAGT